CTATTGGATTGAGATCTGGTGACTGTGACCACCACCAGAGACACCTGGACAGGTCTCCAGTTCACCAGAGACACCTGGACAGGTCTCCAGGGACACAAAAGAGACAATCAACCATCCACACTCTGTCACACCTAGAGTCACACAGAAGAGCTCCAGAAGGTTTCAAACTGAGAACTCTGGACTCAGATCATCTGCTGCACACAGTTCTGATCACTTAATATCGATATTAATTTGCTACAATAAATTATTATTAATAATTATCATGAGAAGTCCTTAACTTTAGGATGTAGTTAGGCAATTAAATATTCATGTATGTGTAAATTTATTACCATAATTGAAGTGAGTCGCATAAATTTATGTTTTCATAAAACAAGTAGCCACCTCCCCCCCAAGACCAATTTCCTAGGGGAAACACTGGTCTCCTTTAATCACTATCATAGAGAGATAAGAAAGAGTCATAATTCAAATAATATTGTTTAAATAAACAAAAACCAGTAAGTTTTCTTTCTCAAAGTGTTCCCCTTTGATGTCACTTCCTGTTTCATTTTAGCTGAGCCAAATTCCAAAGAAAATATGCCAGTTATGTGACATAAAGGGTAAAATTGTGTAAAATGCCAAGTTTCTTCAATAAAAATATATTTTCTTTGTCTTTTTGTATTTCATGGATAAGTGTGTCACGAGCACTTTAAGATCACATTTTATTCAGAATAAACATGTAAATAACCTTTGACTTTAATCTCAGCTCTGCTGATCTTGATCTCTTTGTCTTCCTCGGGAATCGGTTGCATAGGCCTCTCACATGCGTATTTCCTTGTTTCTAAACTGAATAAATACAGAAGGAATGTTAATCTGAATGTGAAGCTCTCGCACACCTAAATCTCTTACATGTTAAGCCAAACAGCTGTACTTCAGAGGCTTTATTACTCATAAGCCTAATCGCAAAAGTGTGTTAGAAACGTGGGGATTTAAACAAGTGTTGTGTTTTATCAGACAAATCTAAACTTTTTTTTTTCGTCTTTCAGGACCGGTCCAGAATGTACGACAGTCTGAACATGCACTCTTTGGAGAGCTCTCTGATCGACATCATGCGAGTGGAGCAGGATCCGATGAAAGGTAAGATGGTCTTCGTCTGCGGGGTCAGAGGGAGGTGATCCTACTCAGGGAGGTGACCAACACGAAGCACAGTGACTGCAAGGACCTGCTCCCTGAGCCACGTTGTTTTTCTCACACAAGCTTATTTTCTCCCTGCTGAGTACTTAATGCTCGCGCCACCGGCTGCACATTTACCTGGCCTTAAAGCTATGATCCTGGTGCTACTTAACGTGCACGGCACACAGATCTGGGTAAATGGAGAACAAGCACAAGAGGAAGTGAGACGTTATTCCTTAGGATGAGTTATTTAATAAAGCTAAGATAACTCAACTATCTCAGTTATCTTTAGAATGATGAATTAGATATACAGTACGCTGTAATTAGTCTTGAGCTTCTTTTTGAATAATTTCTTACGGCTTGGCAGTGGCARGCAGAGAATATGACACTATCCTGGCCTCCTGCGCTCAGCTGCTGAACATCAGAGGAGCAGTGTCAAATGACTGCATCGCTGTGATCCTCCTCTCCTTCTGTCCGCAGCCTGCAGCTCGTTTACAGCCTCCTAAACCTTAAACACTCTCACTTCACAAAAAACCCAGGTAAAAACTGCACTGCTTCATGGTTTGGGTTGTGCATCTTCTTCCCTGGGTGGTTTTCTTTTTTCTTCCTGCCTGAACAGAGGGAGAAGACATGGGTCAGTGTGCACAGCAGGGGGG